TAATGAGGAGAAAAAAAAAAAAAGAAAAATTTCAAAATTAGTCCCACAGATATAGGGGGGTGACAATTTTGGTCCCGACGGAATGCACAAAATATGAATAGTCCCACAGCTTTTAAAAAATGATAAAAAATAGGACTTTTTCGCCGGATTTACTATTTTCGGCCCAGAGCGCCACGTGGCGTACATGTGGCACACACGTGACTTATTTTTTATACGTTGGCATCCGACGTAGATAGGAAAAAATTTAAAGCTAGTCCCACAAGTATAGAGGGGTGACATTTTTTGTCCCGATGGAATGCAGAAAATTCAAAACTAGTCCCACAACTTGTAAAAAAATATGAACACGTCGGATGCCACGTGGCGTTCCGGGCCAGAAATAGTAAATCCGGCGAAAAAGTTCTACTTTTGATCATTTTTTAAAAGCTGTGGGACTATTCATATTTTCTGCATTCCGTCGGGACCAAAATTGTCACCCCCTATACCTGTGGGACTAATTTTAAAATTTTCCCAAAAAAAAATGAATGAAATTTTTGAAAGGTGAACTATATATATACCTAACATAATGTCTCCCATCAAATGGTCTACACAAATGCCCCTAGCCTCTATTTAATGCGAGTTGCTTTCTAAGAAGAAAATACTCAACTCAAGAAAAAAAAAAAAAAAAAATGAAAAAAGAGCATGCATTAGCAACAGTGTAAACTTTGTAAAGGCAACACAAAGAAGCAAGAGGATTGGGTGGCCTCGAATTCCGCACGCGGCACTTTGATCCATTTAGTGGGAATCCAATTACACTCTGGACTGAGCATGCTTAACGGGGACGTCATGTACTTGAAATTAACACAAATAAAAAATAAAAAAAAAATCATTTAATCCATATCCTTAAATAGGACACTATTACACACTCCACTTTCTCATCACACTTCCATTGACCACCATGGATGTCGAGAAAGTTTTCCACATGAAAGGAGGTCTTGGAGATGCAAGCTATGCTAAAAATTCTTCTCTTCAGGTACATACATACGTACACATATTATTTATATTCTTTGTTTTACAATTGAAATATATGAGCACAAAAGAATCAAATCACATATTTTCATTCTGTACATGTGCTGGGACAGAAAAAGACAGCTGAGAGAGTGAAACACATAACAGTAGAGAACATGGAGCAAATGTATCTAGGAATAAAGCCCAAAAGCTTGGGCATAGCGGACTTGGGCTGTTCTTCGGGCCCAAACACGTTATCAATTGTTAAACAGCTGGTGGATGCCGTCCAAAATGCGTGTCGAGTGAATACGGAGCTACCCGATGAATTCCGAGTTTACCTAAACGATCTACCAACGAATGATTTCAACACGGTATTTCGTGCTCTGCCCGATTTGTATCGAGAGATCAAGATTGGGCCTAAAAGTGAGGCCCGGCCCAATATCTTCATAGCTGGTTATCCTGGAACATTTTACGGCAGGCTCTTTCCAGACCACTGCTTGCACTTTGTTTATTCAGCAAACAGCCTTCACTGGCTTTCAAGGGTCACTACTCTTTTCCTATCCTTTTCTTTACTTTATTTAATTAATTAATTAATTGAATGGTACATTAATTAATTATAGTGTACATAATGTGCATACTTATCATGCTATGTGGCATAATTTATTGGCTGAAAGTAGCAACGAGACACCTTAGCAATATACTTTATTTTCGTTAGTCAAAATAAGTCAAATTAATTTCTATTATTAAAAAATATGGCAGGTTCCACCTGGTATTTATGATGACGAGGGTATATCAATAAACAAAAAGAGCATATACATAACAGAGAGGAGTCCGGGTCGGGTCGGGGAAGCATATCTGAAGCAGTTTCAAAAGGATTTTTTTTTATTTCTAAAATCACGATCCCAGGAGGTGGTGTCGGGCGGCCGAATGGTGCTTATTTTTCTGGCGAGGAGTGGGCCCGGACACGTGGACAGGGGCAACTCTTTCTTTTGGGAACTTCTATACCAATCTTTCGCCACTCTCGTTAACCAGGTATATATTACAATATTACCATTATTATATACTTCATCTTTAACTAATTTCTTAATTTTGTGTGGGCCCCATTTTTGTTCAATTTGTGACTATTGACCATCCAATCAATGGACAGGGTTTGGTTGAGCAGGAGAAAGTAGACAGTTATGACGTACACTTTTACGCGCCATCAAAAGAAGAGATAGAGGATGAGGTGAGAAAGGAAGGGTCCTTTAGAGTTGACCGTGCTGACGTGTTCGAAATGGATAAGGATTTTGGGGACTACCCGAGTTATGGCGTGGCCGTGGCCAGAGCCGTTAGATCCGTTCAAGAATCGTTGATCGTGCATCACTTTGGAGAGGCCATAGTTGACAAGTTGCTCGAGATTTACGCAAGATTGATTGATCAAGAATTGGCAAAACAAGATATTAATTTCCTCACGGCCCTCCTTGTTCTCACCAAGCTATGACTCACTATATGATCTATCCATGGAGTTGTTTAGGTTTAACATCTTGCAACATAATTTGAAATAAATTGACGTTGTTTGAACTAATTACTTGGGATAGGGCTGCGATTTTTTCTTTTTTCTTTTTTTTTTTCTGTATTGAACT